TGCCAGGTCAGTCTATTGTACTTTATTTTTTTGGACTGTTTTGACTTTGTTCATAGGTGTATATGTGTATATTCCATTATTTTAATTATTACTTTCTTGATTTTGTAACTGCCATTTGTCTGGGGTTCATCTTTGGTCTCTCATTTTTGGATATCTGGTTTAATCTCACATAATGTCATAACAAACTACTTGTGGAATTTTTGTTCCCAACCAGATATCAAGCTCTGAGCCTTTGGAGTGGGGACAATGACTCCAAGGCCCTAGACTACCAGAGAACTAACCCTAGGGAGTATCAAATAGTGAGAACTCACACAAAGGAAACCATTCGAATACAAGACCTGGCATCACCCAACCACCAGTAGCAAGCACCCTGTGCAGGACACTGCATCTAAGCAACAAACAAAGCAAAAATAGAAACCCAGTCATCAGCAGACAGGATTACCACCTCACTCAGCCTTGCCCATCAGAGGAAAAACAAGCAAACAAACTCAGCACAAATATCACCCTATACAAAGCTTACACAAACCAGCATACCAAACTTAGGAGGGCAGAAACAAAAAGGAGGAAAGAATTCAACCTTTTTCAAGGAAAGAATTTAACTTTCCTTGAAGCCTGAGAAAAGAAGACCTCAAACACAATAAGTTTTTTTTTTTTAATTAAAAAGCAGAGAAACACTACACAAATGAAGGAACAAACTAGAAACACAGAAGGCTAAATAAATGAATAGGAAATACGAAAACTACCTGAGAAAGAACTCAGAATAATGATAGTAAAGATGATCAAATGCCTTGAAAACAAAATGGGGAAAATACAAGAATCAATTAACAAAGATCTAGAAGAATTAAAGAATAAACATACAGAGACAAACAACACAATCACTGAAATTAAAAATACTCTGGAAGGAATCAATAGCAGAATATCTGAAAGGAAGAATGAATCAGTGAGCTGGAAGATAAAATGGTGGAAATAAATTCTGAAGAGCAGAATAAAGTGAAAAGAAGGAAAAGAACTGAGGATAGTCTCAGGGGCTTCTGGGACAATATCAAATTCACAAACATTCAAATTATAGGGGTCCAACAATAAGAAGAGAAAAAGAAAGGGTATGAGAACATTTTTGAAGAGATTATAATTGAAAATTTCCCAACATGAAAAAGGAAACAGTCAAGTCCAAGAGGCACAAAGAGTCACATATAGGATAAACCCAAGGAGAAACATGCAAAGACAGATACTAACCAAACTAAAAAACACTAAACACAAAGAGAAAATATTAAAAGTGGCAAGGAAAAGGCAACAAGTAACATACAAGGGAAATCCCATATGTTTAATAGCTGATCTTTCAGCAGAAACTCTGAAGGCCAATAGGGAATGGCAGGATATATTTCAAGTACTTAAAGGAAACAATCTGCAACCAAGAATACTGTAGCTGGCAAGGATCTCATACAAAATTGATGGAGAAATAAAAAGCTTTTCAGACAAACAAAAGTTAGGAGACCTCAGTACTACCAAACAAGCTTTACAACAAATGTTAAAGGAACTTAAATAGTCAAGAAATACAAGAGAAGAAAAAAGATCTACAAAATCAACTCCAAACAATTAAGAAAATGGCAATGGGACCATATATATCAATAATTATTTTAAATGAAAATGGATTAAATGCTCCAACCAAAAGACACAGACTGGCTGAGTGGACATGGAAACCCACTTGAGACCTCAAGACACATATAGACTGAAAGCAAGAGGATAGAAAAATATATTCCATGCAAAAGGGAAGCAAAAGAAAGCTGGAGTAACAATCCTCATATCAGACAAAATAAACCTTAAAATAAAGAAGATTACAAGAGAGAAGGAAGACCACTACATAAGGAATCAATCCAAGAGGAAGACATAACAATTGTAAACATCTACACACCCAACATAGAAGCACCTCAATACATGAAACAAACACTAGCAGACATAAAAGGAGAAATTGACAGTAACACAATAACAGTAGGAGGCTTTAACACCCCACTCACACAAATAGACATATCATCAAAACAGAAAACGAAAAGGAAACACAAGTCTTAAATGATACATTAGATGAAATGGATCTCATTGATATCTTCAGGACACCCTATCCACATGCAGAAGAACACAACTTCTTCTCAAGTGCACATGGAACCTTCTCCAGACTAGACCATATCTTGGGTCATAAATCAAACCCCAGTAAATTTAAGAAAACTGAAATCATATCAAGCATCTACTCCGACCACAATGCTATAAGACCAGATATCAATTACAAGAAAAAAAAATTATTAGAAACACAAACACATGGAGATTAAACAATACATTTCTAAATAACCAGCAGGATACTGAAGAAATCAAAAGAGGAAAGCAAAAAAATTCTAGAAACAAATGATAATGAAAACACAACTCAAAACCTATGGGATGCAGCAAAAGCAGTTCTAAGAGCAAAGTTTACAGTAATACAATCCTACCTTAAGAAATAAGAAAAACATCGAATAGACAACTGAACTTTACACCTAAATCAACTGGAAAAAGAAGAAGAACAACAAAAATTCCCAAAATTAGTAGAAGGAAAGAAATCATAAAGATCTGAGCAGAAATAAATGAAAAAGAAATGAAAGAAACAATAGTAAAGATTAATAAAACTAAAAGCTGGTTCTTTGAAAAGATAAACAAAATCAACAAAGCTTTGGCCAGACCCATCAAGAAAAAAAGAGAGAACAATCAAATCAACAAAATTAGAAATGAAAAAGGAGAGGCTACAACAGACAATGCAGAAATACAAAGGATTATAAGAGACTATTATGAACAACCATAGAGCAATAAAATAGATAACCTGGAAGAAACTGACATATTCTTAGAAAAGTTCAATCTTCCAAGACTGAACCAGGAAGAAATAGAAATTATGAACAACCCAATTATAAGCACTGAAATTGAAGCTGTGATCAAAAATCTCCCAAAAATCAAAAGCCCAGGACCAGATGGCTTCACAGGGGAATTCTATCAAACATTTAGAGAAGAGCAAATGCCTATCCTTCTAAAACTCTTTCAAAAAATTGCAGAAGGAACACTACCAAACTCATTCTATGAGGCCACCATCACCCTGATACCAAAACCAGACAAAGACAACACACAAAAAAGAAAGCTACAGGCATAGATGAACATAGATGCAAAAGTCCTTAACAAAATTTTAGCAAGCAGAACTCAGCAACACATCAAAAACCTCATATACCATGATCAAGTTGGGTTTATTTCAGGTATGCAAGGATTTTTCAATATACACAAATCAATCAATGTGATATTAACAAATTGAAAGATTAAAACCACACAATAATCTCAATAGATGCAGAAAAAGCCTTTGACAAAATTAAGCACCCATTTATGATTAAAACTCTTCAAAAACTGGGCATAAAAGTAACCTACCTCAACAGTGTAAAGGCCATAAGCCTACAGCAAACACTATTCTCAATGGTGAAAAACTGAAAGCATTCTCCCTCAGATTAGGAATAAGACAAGGGTATCCACTTTCCCTACTATTATTCAATGTAGTTCTAGTAGCCCTAGCTACAACAATCAGAGAAGAAAAAGAAATAAAAGGAATCCACGTCAGAAAAGAAGTAAAGCTCTCAATGTTCACAGATGACATGATCCTGTACATAGAAAACCCTAAAGATAGTATCAGAAAATTACTACAGCCAATCAGTGAATTTAGTAAAGTTGCAGGATACAAAATCAATACACAGAAATCACTTGCATTTCTATATTTTAACAATGAAAAGTCAGAAAGAAAAAATTAGGGAATCAATACCAATCACCATTGCAACAAAAACAATTAAATATCTAGGAATAAACTAATCTAAGGAGACAAAAGAATTGTATTCAGAAAATTATAAGACACTGATGAAAGAACTCAAAGACAACATAAACAGTTGGAGAGATAATCCATGATCCTGGGTAGGTAGAATCAATATTGTGAAAATGAATATACTACCAAGTGCAATCTACAGATTCAATGTGATCCCTATCAAATTACCAATGACACTTTTCACAGAACTAGAACAAAAAAAATTTCACAATTCATATGGAAACACAAAAGACCCTGAATAGCCAAAGCAGTCCTGAGAAAGAAGAATGGAGCTGGAGGAATCAGCCTTCCTGACTTCAGACTATACTCCAAAGCTAGTCATCAAGACAGTGTGGTACTGGCACAAAAACAGAAATATAGACCAATGGAACAAGATAGAAAGCCCAGAAATAAACCCATACACCCATGGGTACATTATTTTTGACAAAGAGAGCAAGAATATGCAATGGGGCAAAGACAGCCTCTTCAATAAATGGCGCTGGGAAACCTGGACAGCCACATGTGAAAGAATGAAAGTAGAACACTTCCTAACACCATACACAAAGATAAACTCAAAACGGATTAAAGACCTAAATGTAAGAGCAGAAACTATAAAACTCTTAGAGGAAAATATAGGCAGAACACTCAATGACATAAATCAAAGCAAGATCCTCTATGACCCACCTCCTAGAGTAACAGAAATAAAAACAAAAGTAAACAAGCGGGACCCAATTAAACTTAAAAAAAGCATTTGCACAGCAAAGTAAACTATAAGCAAGGTGAAAAGACAACCCTCAGAATTGGAAAGGATAATAGCAAATGAAACAGCTGACAAAGGATTACTTTCCAAAATATGAAAGCAGCTCATATAATTCAAAACCAGTAAAACAAACAATCCAATCAAAAAGTGGGAAAAAGACCTAAACAGACATTTCTCCAAAGAAGACATGCAGATGGCTAACAAACACATGAAAAGATGCTCATCATCACTCATTATTAGAGAAATGCAAATCAAAACTACAATGAGATATCACCTCATGCCATTCAGAATGGCTATCATCAAAGAGTCTACAAATAATAAATGCTGGAAAGGGTGTGGAGAAAAGGGAACCCTCTCGCACTATTGGTGGAAATGTAAATTGATACAGCCACCATGGAAGATGGAACGGAGATCCCTCAAAAAACTAAAAATCAAGAAGCAGAGAAGTACAAAGCTGAAGATGAGAAGCAGAGGGATAAGGTGTCTTCAAAGAATTCGCTTGAATCCTATGCCTTCAACATGAAAGCTACTGTTGAGGATGAGAAACTTCAGGGCAAGATTAATGATGAAGACAAACAGAAGATTCTTGACAAGTGTAATGAAATAATCAACTGGCTGGAAAAGAACCAGACTGCAGAGAAGGAAGAATTTGAATATCAGCATAAAGAACTGGAAAAAGTCTGCAACCCCATCATTATCAAGCTGTACCAGAGCGCAGGAGGCATGCCTGGAGGAATGCCTGGGGGCTTCCCTGGTGGTGGAGCTCCTCCATCAGGTGGTGCCTCCTCTGGGCCCACTATTGAAGAGGTTGATTAGGCCAGCCTAGCATAGATCTAGCATTGTCCCACACAAAACATGGAAGGACCCAAATTTGTAGCAAATCCCATGGCAGTTATGAAGTTGAGCTGCTATAGTAAATAACTGGGCATTCTTGATACTTGAACATGGAATGTGTGTGCACATGGAAAAACATTGCACTTTACAAGCACTGTATTGTAAGTGGAAAAATGCAATGTCTTAAATAAAACTGTATTTTAAATTGGCACCAAAAAAAAAAAAAAAAAAAACCTAAGAATAAAACCACCATGTGACCCAGCAATCCCACTTCTAGGCATATACCCTGAGGAAACCAAAACTGAGAGACACATGTATCCCATTTTTCATTGCAGCACTATTTACAATAGCTAGAACATGGAAGCAACCTAGATGGCCATCAACAGGTGAATGGATAAAGAAGTAGTGGTACATACGCACAATGGAATATTACTCACCCATAAAAAGGGACACATTTGAGTCAGTTCTAATGAGATGGATGAACCTCGAATCCATTATACAGAGTGAAATGAGTCAGAAAGAGAAAGATAAATAATGTATTCTAACGCATATATACGGAATCTAATAAAATGGTACTGAAGAATTTATTTGCAGGGCAGCAATGGAGAAACAGACATAGAGAATAGACTTTTGGACATGGGGAGAGGGGAGGAGAGGGTGAGATGTATGGAAAGAGTAACATGGAAACTTACATTACCATATGTAAAATAGATAGCCAACAGGAATTTGCTGTAGGTCTTAGGAAACTCAAACAGGGGCTCTGTATCAACCTAGAGGGGTGGGATGGGGAGGGAGATGGGATGGAAGTTCAAAAGGGAGAGGATATATGTATACCTATGACTGATTCATGCTGAGGTTTGACAGAAAACAAGAAAATTCTGCAAAGCAATTACCCTTCAATATAAAAATAAATTAATTAAAAAAATAAATTTTTATAAAGGCAATAGCTAAGTGCCATTTAAATGCATCTCCTTGGTCAGTCATTATACCTTAAGTGAAGTATTATAGATTGTAAGCTTCCTGAGGAGAGAAACAATTAAAATCACACTGATAGAGACACGAGGACCCACATAAAAGTGAAATAAAAACCCCAGGACTTCTTATTTAATAAACTGTAAAAATAAAATAGCAGTAGTTAGTAGCTCATAATGTTCACTGAAAACAGTAAGATTTTTTCACATAAAAAAAAATTATAGTTTAAGACAAAGGATGATGTGGAATGTCTGTGATTCAATAGCCTACCATATTGTCTGGGAGTGTGTCCCAGTTAACCTTAGTTCTATATCCCCAGACAACAAATTCACTCAGCCATTGTGCTCTACTTCATCCTCCAGGTTTTTAACTCTCTATTCACTGCATTTTTCAGGAGGTGGAGAACAGTAATAATTTTTGTGCTGTTATTCCCCAGTTGCTCACTTCTTCTCCTTGCCAAGATGGTTCTGCATTGAGAAAACATATATATTTAAGAATTTGCCCCAGGGTGGACTTATTTGGAGTCAGATGAGCTCTGACAGACCGGGGATGTTCTCAGCTACACACGGATGTCTCATAAGAGATGAAGGATTAGAAGAAGGTCTCCAGTTACCACAGGATGGATGTGAGTGGCCTCACAGCACCTACGAAGGTAGTTTTCTTCCATTATTTTCATTAAATATTGTGTGGATCCCAGGAAGAAGAATCAAATATGTGCAAAGTACAAAAGTAACAATGCAGTATATGGACAAACACCCTCTGTTCTACAACTCAGCATTGCACCTCTTTCTAGATCTGAATGCTGGTCTCCAATCTCATCCTGAGTCCTGGCCTCCCCTTCTAGCCCAGATAATCAATATATTTCCTGTATCTTTTCTTTGCTTTTTAAGGTTGTTGCCTAGCATATATATGCCAGCAGCATATTCTTTACTTTCTGTGGGTGTGTTAGCCACTCAGTCATGTTTGACTCTTTGCAACCCCATGGACTGTAGTCTGCCAGATTCCTCTGTCCATAGGATTCTCTAGGCAAGAATACTAGACTGGGTATCTATTCCTTTCTCCAGGGGATCTTCCTGACCCAGGGATTGAACCTGGGTCTCCTGCATCACAGGCAGATTCTTTACCATCTGAGCCAAAGGGAAGCTCCACTGTTTACTTCAGTCCTTTATACAGAGGGAATTATCAAGTGTCTTCTTGAATGTGGCCTTTTTGCTCCTGAGATTCTTCTGTGTTGAATCTGGTTATAATTCACTCATTTTCCTGTCATATACTGGTCCCTTTTACCAATATTCCACAGTTTGTTGATTCACTCGACTATTGGGTTGTGTGCAGTTTTTCTCTGGGGATAACCAGTGCTTCCAATAACATTCTCACACATTTCATGGGATCCCTGTGAGTGTGGTTTTCAGGAAAAGAGACAAGGGTGGAAATCTGTAGGTCCTAGAATTTGTGTATCTTCAACTCAGTTGGAAAACATATTTTTGACTCCAGTTCACGCTTACTTCCATCAGGAGCACATTGTAGTTTGCTGGCTCCATACTCAAGGCTAAAACATCATGGCCTGACATCTAGTGGGTATGAATGTGCTTCTCGTTGCAGTCTTAATTTCCATTCACCTGAGTCTTCCATTCACCAGTCACCTGAGATGGAACATTTTATATTTTCTGGCTTCCTGTTTTTCTCAAGAGAAATGACTTTACTTTTTCTCCCTTTTTGGCCCATTTTATTAGGTGTTCTTCCTGTTGATTTTTGTGATTTCTTTATACATCCTGAGCTCTAATTCTTTGTTAGTTACATTACATTACAAATATCTCCTGAATTTCATTTGTCTTCTTAGGAATATTTTGAGCAGTTCTTTTTTAAAAATGTATCCATTAATTTATGTGAAGTCCTTGTTTTAGAAAGCTCCCTCTATACTGAGGGCATAAAGATGTTCTCCACCAGCACATCAGTTGGTAATTACTTATGTGCTGGGTTTAGGTTCTAGCTCATCTTCCCCATAATTATCCCAATGCTTTCTCTTTAAAATTTAGTCTGTCTGTCTCCATTAATATAAAATGCCAACTTATCATCAATTAAGTTTCTGTGTATTGCATTTCTGTTTCTGGTCCCTCTTATATTTCGTTCACTGGCTTGATTATTCGACTTTAGTAATTATTCTTTATAATAGACCTCAGAGATATCAGCTATTTTGGTCTTCAAGCTCTTAAAGTTAAATTCTAGAATCCTTTGGTTTAATAAGTTTAATTACAATAAAGTATACATGAAAACAAGCCAAAATCCTCAGACATTTTATTATTGATACAATAACATTTATTTCACAGATTTACTAAAGGGAAAGCTGATTTTTAAAATATATATCCCACCCTATAAACACTGTGTTTCCATGTATTTAGGTCTTACTTAATGCTGTTTGATTACATTAAAATTTTCCACATGAATGGCTTGCATACTTTTTGATAATTTATCCTTAGATACTTAATTTTTTAAATATCATGGTAAAGGTTATATTTGTTTGATTCCATTTTCTACCTTTTTGTTGCTAATGTATAGAGGTATGATTTAAGGTTTTTAACTGCTTTGTGTGTTCAGCAATCTTGCTAAATTTACTCAATGATTCTTTAGAGGTTAGTTTCACCCATAATATTCTTATAATATCTATATTTTGAAATCAAGCTAAGCAGTGTCACATAAAATGAGCTAGGAATACGTCCTCTCCTTCTATACTTCAGAATAGTTTGAGGACAGCTGGAATTAATTGATCTAGTGAATGTTTGATGGAAATTAGAATTAAAATATCTGAGCCTCTTTGGGAAGATACACAGGAGGGGAGACTTTTAACTACTGATTCAGTTTCTTCATAGTGAAAATTCTATTTAGTTTTTGTCCCATTTTTCTAGAAGTTACATTTATTTATTAGTGGAATGCAATTTATTACATTTATATTTTTGAGAATTTGTTCATTTTATCTAACATTTTATATTCATTAGGATAATATTTGAATATTAACTAATTGCTTTTAAACTACACAGAATATCTAGTTATACCCTCCCCACTTTTCATTGATATTATTTTTTTCACTTTTTTTCCTTGCTCAGTCTTACCAAAGTTTGTTAGTTTTGCTATTTATTTCAAATAATCAATTTTTGGCTTTGTTGATTCTCTCTATTGTATGTCTGTTTATTTTCTTTTTTTTTTTTTGTCTGTTTACTTTCTATTTGTCATCTACTATTTCCTATTTTGGGAAGGTGAATGAAGATTTTATCTAATTTCTCAAGCTCATTTAATTTGAGGCTTTTCTATTTTATAACATAATGACTTAAATTTCTGTAATCCTTCTTGGAACCACATCGGCTTCATCACATGAGTTCGACATATAGCATTTTCATTACCGTGTTGTTAGGTATGGTAACTTTCATCATGGACTAGGTAACTTTCCTCATGATTTCTTACTTGACCTATGATAGAAATGTTAAATTTCTAAATGTATTAGTTTTGCCTTATCTTGTTGTTAATTATTTCTTACAAACCCATTGTGGTCAGAGCATGTGTCCTACATAAACCCAGTTGTTTAATGTTTAGTGAATCTGGCTTTCCAGCACACTACGTGGCTAGTTTCATGATAGTTCTAAGTGCCCTTGAAAAGCTGAATGTTTTGCAATTGATCTGTTAAGGTTGTCAGTTGAGGTAGTCAGATCTTCTGTACTCTCACTGACTTTATGTGCCTTGTCTTTCCAGTTATCAGACAAATTTCCCAGTTCTGATAATGTATTAATATGTTTTTCATCCTTTTCATTTCATTTCATGCATAAAGATTGTATTATTAAACAGGTATTTACAAATTAAATTCTTAAATCTTGCTAGTAAATTGAAACATTTCTTGACTTTATAATTACCCTTTTACTTCTAATAGTTTTCCTTTTTTCTTAAAATCTATTTTGTCTGCCATTTACAGAGTTTCACTTTAAACTATTGCTTGCTGAATGTGTCTTTTTTTTTTCTTTCTGAATGTGTCTTTATTCTACCCTTCCATGTTCAAACTGTATCCTGAAATTTTAGGTGAGTCTTTTGTTTTTTAATTAACATTAGAAATCTGGTCTTTTAAATGAATCTTTAATTATATTTTATAGTACTTTCATATTCTTGCAAATAAAATTAGGGAAAAGTAATAATACAAAAAATGAGATCAATTTCCCCAGACATCACTAAAACACTCTAAAACTCATGTAACAAAGCACCAAA